TTTGAGTGCTCTGGCATGGTTTTGATGTCCCACAATCGTGAGGCATCAAAGGTAACTGTAAATAGCAGTTACTTTCATCCTGCTCATCAGCACTACACTGATGAGGCCCATAAGGCCGAAACGGTACCGTCTGTAGTTTTATGTGGTGCTAAGTGTTTAAATACCATACAGTAACATACATAGGATAATAAATTGAAATCAAAACCATGTATTTCAAATAAGACAGCAAATACGCTTACTAAAATTGAAAATAACCTCTGGTGTATTGGCAAGACAAGATAATCTCGACGAAAATACAACTGAACTTCAAATGTGTTAATGTCACTTGTCAACGATTTATGCCTATAAGCGTAAACTGAAACATTGCTAACTCGGAAATCTCCGATTCATGCAACGTTTGGTATATGATGGAACCATTTATGGACATACATGTAAACGTACAAACAAGCGTACAATATGGAAATCTCCGAGATTTAGTAAAACAGACCAGATTAAAAAGCGACTGCATTTAGCGTCTACTTTTAAGTAGACGCCAAAAATTATTGCAAAGAATTATTTTGGTCACCCATGCAGTTATTAAAAAATTGTAGGCAGCCGCCTTTAAAACATTCCGAAGAGGAACTATCACATTTCCTTGGCTTTTATTTCTCATGCATAATATATTCAATACTTACTCGACGGCTTTGTTGCTGGTGAAGTTGCTATAATTTAAAAGAATATAAAAACGTTTGACAAGAATTATTTTGATTACCTAGTTTATAGAAAATTGCAAGGTGCCGCCTTTAAAACATTCTGAATGAAACTCTCACATTTCCTTGGCATTTATTTCTCATCAAATATTCTATATATATATACTCACTCGGAGACGACGTTGCTGGCGAGGTCGCTATAAAATAAAAAATATTAAAACGTTATTAAGAAGAATTTTTTGATAACCTAGTTCCTACAAAATTATACGAGCCGCCTTTAAAACATTACGAAGGGAAACTCTCACATTTCCTTGGCTTTTATTTCTCATAGAATATTCTATACTCACTCGGAGACGTTGTTCCTGGAGAGGTCGCTTTAAAATAAAAGAATATTAAAACGTTGTTAAGAAGAATTATTTTGATAACCTACAGTTACTACAAAATTATCCGAGCCGCCTTTAAAACATTCCAAAGGGAAACTCTCACATTTCCCTGGCTTTTATTTTTCATAAAATATTCTACTCACTCGGAGACGTTGTTGCTACTGTGGTCGCTATAAAATAGACGAATATAAAGAATTATTGCAAATAACTATTTTGATTATCCATGCAGCTATTGGAAAATTGTAGGGAGCCGCCTTTAGAACATGTATCTCATAAGATATTCTATACTTACCCAAAGATGTAGATGCTGGTGTGGTAGGGGCTATAAAATAGAAGAATATAAAATAAATTAGTGCAAAGAATTATTTTTATTACCCATACGAATTGAGGGGAACTGCCATTAAAACATTCCGAAGTGGAACTCTCCTATTTCCTTGGCTTTTATATCTCAAAAAAATTCTATACTTATACACAAAGACGTAGATGGTGGTTCTGGGGGCTATAATATAAAAGAATATAAAAAATTATTGCAAAGAATTATTTGATATTTTGATTAACCAGTTATTGGAAAATTGTCGGGAGCCGCCATTAAAACATTGTGAAGCGAAACTATCCCATTTCCTTGGCTCTTATATGTCCGAAAATATTCTATATATACGCGATGTCGTAGATGCTTCTGTTGTGTTGTCGGATATAAAATAAAAGAGTTTAAAAAAATAATTGAAAATAATTATTTTCATGACTAAACAATTGTTCGACGTACGTGATTTTGTGATATCAAAATAATATATATATATATATATATATATATATATATATATATATATATATATATATATATATATATATATATATATATATATATATATATATATATATATATATACGGTACCGTTTCGGCCTATTGGGCCTCTTCAGTCTAGTGCTGATGAGCAGGATGAAGGTAAAAAGTACTAATAGTTACCTTTGATGCTTCACGAATGTGGGACATCAAACCATGATATGAACTTTTGTTGTAGGCCTAGTGCTTCTTCAGACATAAATTTATATATTTATTTTCCATACGTTTCGTTTCAGTGGAGATGATTTACAGTAATATATCGTCCTATACATATATACAAGTGTTTATCTAATTTAAATGCTGAAAATATACGTATTGTTGATAAAATGACATAATTAAAACTATATGCTAATTGTGCTCCCACTACAGCCGTTCATTAAGTGTCCTGAATGTTTTTGTATTTCTAAGGTCTCGTGGTTACTAATGCTTGCATGTAAAATGCTCCGTGTTATTTGCAGGAATTTGCATTTATTATGGTGCTAAGTGTTTAAGGTAGCTCCCTAGGGTTTTTGAATTTACTACACTATAGTATTCAGGAGACTGCTGTTTCTTAAACTTTACATGACATGACAACGAAATTGATTTGGGCACATTGACAATACTCTCCTGGACATTGCAATTTGCTACTTTTGTGTTAAGGTGGCTCGATAGGAAAAATCGACCATTTTGATAACTTGTTTCATTGCTACAGAATTTTTGGAATATTATTTTTTTTTTTGGGGGGGGGGGGCAGAAGTAGCACACTGAGGACATTAACCAAAAAAAAATTGGTGCATATTTATTTAATTGCACGAGAGTAGCACCCTTACTACTACAGCCTACTTTTCCGTCATTGAAAATTAAGGCATCGCAAGGAACTCGATATTGGCAAATATATAACAGGTATGGTTCTAAAACTTTTAAGATATTATAATCACCTCTTGAGCTATGAAGGAACTAGAACAACGGGATATGACCAGGTATTCATAAAAATTTTGCATCCCAAATAATGGTAAAGCAAAACATCCTAAGTTCATTGACCAAAATGTCTAGAACTTATGTTTGGTTAGTCAAACTCAAAAATCCTACTTCCTTGCATAATTAATAGGCACATGAATACCCAGTGAAAATTTCAGGTCAATGTCACTTATAGTTTTTCAGAAATCGCAAAAACTAATTCAAAAAAGCCCCGGAATTGACAAATTGAGAAAATCTGCCGCAAAGTTTGGTATAACTAATCAGTTCAAGTTTAGAGCTCAAAATACCCTAGCTTCATATTGGGTAACTTACTCTTCTGACAGGTTGTCAATATAGCCTTTTTTTCGCTGTCTTATCTGTTTTCTTTTATTTTTATGCTTGTCGGAGCTTTTTCGTGAGGAATGGCGGAAACAGTCATAGTCTATTTTCTTGCGACACTTCTTTGTCTGACACCCCGGTTTGAGCAGTTTTTCGGCAGACGACGCATTGGTATGTACTGTCGGCCTCTAACTATCCAAAACCGCGACCGTAATTCAGTCAACGTTGCCTTCGTTCCGCAGTGCTTCACTCTTTCATGGCAATATCTTACGATAAGACGTGTTAGCTGATGTCGTGGATCGAGCAAGATAGGATGCTTCGCTGACTCGTGAATATTGGCATTTTCCAATCTTCCACCGCATCTAGTTATCCCTTTCTCGTCGACAAATATTCCAAACTACCGACTCCAATCTTGATACCTCAAATGTCCAGGAAGTGATGTTTGCATCTCTTTTAGCCAGAGCGTTTCAGCTTCGTTTATCTCTTCCGGCCAAGAATTCTTCAACCTTTCTTGGGATTTATCAGCTCTTCTCTTCACGTTGGCCTTCAATTTTCGAACAAATCTTAGTACATACACCGTAACTCTTAGAAGCCGATGGTAATTCGAGAATGTTGCAATGTTAATTAATTCCTTTACACTTTGACCTGTCGCTTCGGTTATCAGCGCAGTTGGTGAATGGTGTGGCTTCTTCTTCAACTCTCGTAAACATTCGTCCGAAGGCGAAGGCTCGTCTATCAATTCGTCGTTAGGTTGCAATTCTTCTGATAGCCATGTGGGTCCATTTCGCCAGAGTTCACACTGTCCGAGTTCTGAACACTTAATGCTTCGAGTTGGGATGTCTGCTGGATTATCTACGCCGGGGCAATGTCGCCATGATGATGAACAGATAAGGCTTCGAATTTCATTAACTCTCAGCTGGACAAACTGTTCCATTCTTTCGTTTCGCCTCTTATCCAATATAAGCTGACCAACGAATCTGTCCAACATACAACATTTTCATCCAGTTCTAGAACAGATTTGAGTGCTTCACAGGTATTCTTCATAAGTCGTGAAAGGATAACTGCAGATAAGAGTTCTAGTCTTGGAATCGTTTTTTTCTGGCTCGGTGCTACTCTCGTCTTCGCTGTGACAAATTTTGCATATCTCCGCGTTGTGGTCGTAACTACAAGGTACACCACAGCTGCATAAGCTGAAATTGAGGCATCGCAGAACCCGTGAAGTTGGCGAGCTAACATCTTCTCCTTAATGTGCACAAAATAGCATCTAGGCAGTGTCATTGGTTTCGTTTCTTGCAAATCATTAACAAGTTTTAACCACTTCGATTTCAGTTTCTCGGTTATGGGTGCATCCCATCCCATTCAATTCCACTGTCACAAGGACTGAAATAATAGCTTCATTTGCACAATGATGGGTGAGATAAATCCAAGAGGATCATAGAATTTCGATGCGATACTGATGATATTCCTCTT